AACCATTCCAGATTAAGGAAGAGTAAAGATAAATAACATCTGAAAGCAATATTGTTCCTCAGTTAGAAAAAAGAGACTGAATATGGACTATGTATTACACAGTTCTTGACTCATGTTACTTTTTCTAAGGTTTGATCATTGTGGCTTGGTTATATAAGAGTATATTCTTGTTCTTTGGAAATATAGAAGTTATTACGGATAAAGGGACATGATGTTTGAAATTTATTTTCAAATGCCTTAGCAATATAATAATAATACAGACACAGGGTGAGATAAAGCAGTGTAGCAACTTTCTCACATTGGTGAATCTAGGTGAAGGGTATATGTGAATTCATTTTACTTTCAACTCTTCTGTAGATTTGAATTTTTTCAGAAGGAAAAATGTTTGCTAAACTCATAGGTGTAAATGTATTCATTATTTTAATTTACTCTTCTCTGATTACTAGTGGGATTGAACATCTTTTTATATGTTGATCATTCAGATTTCCTTTTTTGTGAATTTAAATTCCTTTTCCTAAGTCTAATTGGCTATTTGTCTTTTCCTTCTTGACTTCTCAAGATTCTGTAATAGTCTTCATCCCAATTCTTTGTTGATGTATTTTGCAAACCACTTCTCTTAAGTTTTGGTTTGTCTTTTAACTTTGGGTAATGGGTTCATTAAGGAATCTCAGCTTATGAGTGTATAAAATGATTTTGTTGTCAGTATTTTTCCACTGACTGTCCTATTTTGGATTCTTCTTTTCCACTGGATGGAAGATCCCTTTACACATCTTGTCAAGACTCTGTAACTTTCCAGTGACTTGGTTATTAAAAAGTCTCATTTTTGTAATTAAAGAGACAGTTAAGTTTATCTTGAACCATGAATCTCCAAATCTAAAGCTCTTCTCCTTACTCCTAGCACAAGCTAAACCTTTCCATGTCTCTATTGGAGAAAGGCAGTGGTCTGCTTTGTACATACATCCCCCTGCTAACTCATCGAGGTGCTAATCCTCTGCTATGTGGAATGGGAAAAAGAAGCCAAGGAGCAAGCATCTTTTCACTTGAGTGAACTGTAGGTGCAGCTTCCTCCTTGTTTGTCACTACTGCTCTAAAGTTGACCAAGTTCTAATGTCCTCACTGTGGCAGGCACCCATGTGCTGCCTCTGTAACTGGGTTGGAGGACATGTTGAGAGGGTTTGGAAAGGCCATGTGGGCTACCTTCCCTTTTGCACAGCTCCTGAAGCAGAGACCTAGCTCTGATTTAAGGTTCACATCTAATTTTCACCTTTTCCATAGGGACAGCTCATCATCCCAGCCCCATTCATTGAAGACCCCCCTTTCCCACTGATGTGTACTACTGCCTTCCACCCAATGTAGTGGAAATTTTATCTGTTTGCCAAATAATGGGAGTACAGGTTGGCCCAATGGCTGTTCCACTCTTAACTGAGTTCTTTTTTCTCCCTGACTTAATTGCCAGGAGCAGGTCGGCAAGTTTGCTGGAATTGATATTTAATTGGGAGCAGGATGCCAAGACTTTGGTTTAGGCAACTCTAATCTTTTTTTTTTTAAAGCTTTTATTTATTTATTCAACAGAGAGAGATAGCAAGAGCAGGAACATAAGCAGGGGGAGTGGGAGAGGGAGAAGCAGGCTTCTGGATGAGCAGGGAGCCCGACATGGGGCTCAATCCCAGGACCCTGGGATCATGACCTGAGCTGAAGGCAGACGCTTAACCAACTGAGCCACCCAGGTGTCCCAAGGCAACTCTAATCTTTATGAGTGATTGCCTTGGCTTTTTCCCCTCCCTTGGCTTCTGGGGAATGGAGGTACACCACCTCCCTTCCACCCAGAGAGAGAACATCTCCACCCCAAAGGCCCGTGATCCCTCCCATCTTTCAGTCCTTTTCCTTATGTGGAGTGAGGAGGAAGTTGGTGGTAAGTACTGGTCTGGTGATTCTCAGTAAGCCTTGAGGGAGGGTGGCTGGCCCCAACTGCTAGTGAAAACTTGGTCTTGGACCATGGAGAACTTAGCATCCTTTCTCATCAGTTTTGGATTTATCAACAATGTCAGGACAACCAGAAAGAATCCCATTTGACATAAGGTTACATTTCATTGGTATTCTTTCTTGTATAAAAGTTTTAAAATGTCTTAATACAGTCAGATTTACTAATCTTTTCCTTATAGCTTATCCTTTCCTTTAGCTTTTTCAAGAAGTATTTCCCTATTCCTTTCAAAATTTTGCTTTTCACATTTAGATCTTTTGTCTATATGACTCTTGAAAAATTTGTTTTATATGTGATATGAGGTAGAGATCTAATTTTAATTTTCCCAAAAGGATAGTTCTTATCTTAGTACTATTTGTTGAATAGTCTTTTCTTTCCCACTGATTTGTATTATGGCCTTTCAAGTTGCTTTTTTTGTTTTTTTTTTTTTAAGATTTTATTTATTTATTTGAGAGAAAGAGACAGCGAGGGAGGGAACACAAGCAGGGGGGAGCCCTAGGCAGGGCTCGATCCCAGGACCCTGGGATCATGACCTGAGCCGAAGGTAGACGCTTAACGACTGAGCCACCCAGGTGCCCCTCAAGTTGCTTTTAACTGATATCTATTTCTTTGTATTTTCTTTCTATAGGAATCACCTTTGCTATCCCCTAAAGTTAATTAGATCCCTGACATGTCCACCTATCATAGTGAATTGTTCCAATGACATTTTATTAGAGTAGGAGCTGACTGTCCTATTTTGGATTCCCTAGCATTTAGTACAGTACCTGGCACAGAGTTGGCTCTCAATAAATATTTGGTGAATAAATGAGCAAGTCCAGGCCAAGATCCACCCAGCTGTGAGTCTGCCCTGAAGTCTAGATTCCACAGAATTCAATAGGTTTTCTAATTTACTGCGATTGGTAAAATGGGTTTTTCCTTTCCAGTTGCATAGTTTCTCTCTTGATCTGTTATTCTTTGAGACAGACATTTTGAATATTCCTAGATTTCTCCCTTTTCTTGAGCTTGGCATCTAATAGGTCACTTAGCTTCATGATTTCTACTTTCTTAAAATTAAGATATATTTTCTATTCCTACTATATCTTCATTTTACCTCAGGCCTTTTTTTCCCCCTTTCCTTTTTTTTTAGTGTGATATTTGATATATGCACAAGAATGTGAGTAACACATAATAAATTATAATTACATGTACGCCTGTGGGAACCACCACTTGCCTAAGAATGGTAACATTATCTGTCCATTGCCTCTACTTAGGTGCTCCTCCCTGGCCCACCCCTTGCCTCCACCTAAGCTGAAGTTTGAGTTTCTCATCCTCTTGTTTTGGTTTCCTTTTCAAATATAGACTTATTACATATAAAAGTATTCCTAACAATGCATTATGTAGATTTACTTATTGAACTTTATAAGAATAGTTTCATACTTTGTGAAGTCTGCAAACTGAATTTTTCATTCAACATTTATGCTTCTAAGATTCATCCATCCTGTTGTGTGTGGCTATGGCTCACTAATTTCATTATTTAATTTCATTAGTGAACACAATGAGATTACATTGTGTAACATACCATGGTTTCTCTATCCTCCTGTTGGTATTTGTTTAGACTGTTTCCAGATTTGTGTTTGCTACTTTGGACAAGATTGCTATAAACATTGTTGTTTATGTCTCTTGGTCCACATGTATAAAGTTTTTCCAGGCTCTGTATCAAGAAGTGGACTTTCTGGGTGAAAGGATATGCCAGTGTTCGACTTTAAAAGATAATGCCAAATTGCTTTTCAAAGTGGTCTGTTTATACTCATGCCAGTAAAGCATAAAAGTCCCCATTGACTTATATTCTTTCCAACATTTGGCATTATAAGATTTATTAATTTTTTCCCTTTTTAGATGGGAAATTGTGTCTCCTTTTAATTGTAATTTATATTTCCCCGAGAAACGAATTTGAGATTGTTTTATATGCCTACTGACTATTCATGATTCCATTCTTGTGTAATGCCTGTTTGTCTTTGCCCTGTTTTTCTATTGGGTTATTTGAGGTTTTTTTTTGAATAAAGTTCTTCATATATTTTAGATACAAATTAAATTCTTTATCAGTTGTAAGTATTGCCAATATTTTCTTCCAGTTTGTGGCTTGCTTTTTAAATTTTCTTTATAGTATCTCTATAACCAGAAGTTTTAATGAAGTTTTAAGAGTAATAATGTTGAATTTATCAATCTTTTCTTTTATAATTGGAATTTTTTATCTTGTTTATAAAACATCCAGCTCTACACTGAATTTATAAATACATTCTCCTATGGTTTCTTTTAAAGGATTTAAAAGCTTTGTCTTCCACATTTTAGATGCATGTGGAATTAATTTTTGTGTGTATGGTATGAAGTAGGGCTCCAATTTTATTTTATTTTTTCCTTATGGATAAACAGTTATCCTGTAAGAGCATTTATTTAGATTGAAATATATTTACAATATATATTGCTATGAGAAGAAAGCATACAATATAACAGAATATATGGTATTTTGAAAACATAAAATATACATATAGTATTTAGTGCATATACAAAATTTAAAGAGACATACACCAAAATAACAATTATGATTATCTTTGGATAGTGGGACAATTGATGATCTTTGTTTATTTCTTCTTTTCTGTGTTTTCCAACTTTTCTCTGTTGAGCGTATATTCATATTTTTTTAACAGTGAAAGATAAGGTAGTGTTTATAGATGATAGTGCGATGTCAGCACATCTTAAAGAGAAACGATGAATTTAAATTCTCCAACTTAACTTTTTTTTATATAGCTTCTTCCATTCCTAGGGGTGGGGGAGAATGTTTGTAGATTATGCAGTAAGTCTCAATAGAAGGTGAAAAATGGTTGAATTCTGAAATCTGGGTGAATCTTCTATAATTAGTTAGATAAAATTTCTCTCTCCTGAGCTGCGTTTGCTTTACAGGTATGTAAGACTCTTTGGAGAATAGGATCCATGTTACTTATGTGTATCATTGATGATATAATTATTTCTTTTTGATCAACAGCAGATAATGAAAAGACTTATAAAGCGATATGTTCTGAAAGCACAAGTGGACAAAGAAAATGATGAAGTTAATGAAGGTAAGCGTCTCCACCTTGAGAAGCATCCTTTTGCAACTAACTTAATGACCTTGGAAAACTTGATATTGAAAGATACTTTAAAAATCCAATCTCAAGTAACAGTTCCAAGATTGATAGGAGAATCTTAGGTTACATTTCTAAAACTCTATCTTTTAAAAGAAAGGGTTATTAAAAATGTCAATCAGAGACAGTTGATCTCTATTTGAATGCCCTAACTGATTCTTAGAATGTAAAACCTGCCATCATTCTGGGAGCCTTTAAATTCCTATTACATAAAGTAGTCAGTAGTTTCAATTCTGTTGCAGTGAGTTCACATGAGTGTTAACATTTTTCCAATGTTAACATTTTCCAATAAAATAGTTGGCTGGTTGGCTCAAATAAAACTTGCATTTCTTCAGAAAAATGTTTCCTTTGTTGTACAGAAAGAAATCTGTAACCCATTTTTCTCATCTGCTGTTTCTCTTTTCCCTTTCACTTTTCTCCTTTGCTCCTTATTTAAAGGTGCCTATTTTTCCAGGCATATCCTAGGCAGGGCAGCTGTCTGTACTATAAAAATGTTTCACCAAAGGCTAGGCCAAAGAACAGGCCCAGAGTTGGAAAGAAATCAACCTGGGAAAAGTAAGTTGCCTTAAAATGGAAACTTAGCTTCCAATAGCAATGAGATTCTACTAGATCTATCTATGCTGATAAGAAAGGGCTAAACTAAATAAAACTGGTGATGGGCTTCAAAGCCATTACTTGATTTATGCAAAGAATCCCTTGAAAATCTGGATCAATCCACTGGTACGTGTATGTAGAAAAGAAGTCTATGAATGTGTGATTGAGGACCAGCAAAAATCCAATCATGATGCCCTAGAAACTGTCCTAGGGAGACAGGATGGAAAAGGGTTGTAGTTTAGAAAGCGGAAATCTGATCAGTAACCTCCCTGGTGGATGGCAGTTGGGAGAAGAAAAACAAAGTGATCTGGGGGAATTGGATTGCTGATGGCCTCAAAAACAAAGGAGCGGGAGGGGAAGAATGAAGCGGGGGAAATCGGAGGGGTAGATGAACCATGAGAGACGATGGACTCCGAAAAACAAACTGAGGGTTCTAGAGGGGAGGGGGGTGGGAGGATGGGTTAGCCTGGTGGTGGGTATTGAGGAGGGCACATTCTGCATGGAGCACTGGGTGTTATGCACAAACAATGAATCATGGAACACTTCATCTAAAACTAATGATGTAATGTATGGGGATTAACATAAGAATTTAAAAAAAAGGAAAAAAAAAGATTAAAAAAACAAAAAACAAAAAAAAAAGGAGCATCTTCCATGTCCCTGCACCAAAGAGGAAAATAAGTTAATGAGAATTTGGAGTTCTGAACAAAGTTCTAGCTAAACTATCATACAGTTTAACATCCTCATTTAATAAATGAAGAAACTGAGGTCCAAGAGGTTGAGTAGTTTGTGTTTCCCATATTGGCAGATGACATATAACACTTAATGACTAGTCTCCCCATAACTCAAAAACAAGGAAGGAGGATATGGCACTAGGGAGGTGAAAGGGAATCTAGTGGGTTTGTAGTCCAAACGTGATATTCAATGGTGTGAGAATCCATTTATTTCACCACAGACCAGCCTCAGGATTTCAAATTAGATCATATTGCCAGATGGGAAAGGAAGAAGCACTTTTTTTTTTTGCCTAAAAAAAGGAATCTGCAAATGTTTTATGTGTATTTTTGAGGAATAGAGTTCCTTAACGTAAAAAGTTTCTGATATATATATATATATGAAAGAATGTAGAAATTATACTTTAAAGCATCATAAAGGTACCAGGTAATATCATGGAAGGTATGTTTTACATGTGATTCTTTTACAGAAAGCTTGTTAAAGTACCAATAATTTGAAGAATCATTTCTTAGATTCGAGATAAATTTCTTTCTTTTTTTTTTTAAGATTTTATTTATTTATTTGAGACAGAATGAGAGAGAGAGAGACAGCACATGAGAAGGGGGAGGGTCAGAGGGAGAAGCAGACTCCCTGCTGAGCAGGGAGCCCAATGCAGGACTCGATCCAGGGACTCCAGGATCATGACCTGAGCTGAAGGCAGTCACTTAACCAACTGAGTCACCCAGGCGCCCCAAGATAAATTTCTGCCCTAAAGTTCACCTTTCAATGTCAATGGCTTATCTACATTGCAGTCATTTGCAAGAGAATCCAGTTCTTAATTGAAAACTACATATGCTCAAAATATGCCAAGTTGAATTATGGGAATAGTTGTGTTTTTGTTTTTTTTTTTTAAGATTTTATTTATT